TGAAGCGGTATATAAGTCTACTGCTATTGCTATTGCTATTGTGGTGGAACCCCCCCCCCTCACCCCCATCTAAATAATAAAGCTATCGCTAAATTAATAAACAACATTGGGTGCAATGCAATATCAAAAAATCTTGGAACAGTGTTTTTAAAAAATCTGTACGTTGACAAAATTTCCATCTTGTCAATTGCACAGGACCACACTGCTTGGGTCCGCTTATACAGGTAGTCCTTGACTTACAATAGTTCACTTAGTGACCATTCGAAGTTACGACAGCACTTAAAAAAAGTGATGCGTGACCATTTCCCCCCCCCCCCATAGTCACGTGATTTACCAATACCTTCAGATGCTTGAACAACTGACTCACATTTATGATGGTGACACTGTCGGGGGGTGGGGGGGCATGTGACCATCTCTTGCCACATTCTGACAAGCGAAGCCGACGGGGAGGGCAGATGAACAACCAAGTTACTAATTTAAGAACTGCAGCGGTTGACTTAACAAGTGTGGCAAGGAAAGTCGCAAAATGGGACAAAACTCGCTTAACAAATTCCTCACCTGGCAACACGAGTTTTGGCCTCAATTGTGGTCGTACGTTGAGGACTACCTGTATACACCACCAATTAATTACAAGGTCCTAGGTTCTTGGAAAGAACTTGATGCATAGAAAAGCCAATACCAGGTAAAAGAACCGCATAGCATGTTCGTCTTTTTTATCCCTTATCTGTATCCCCTTCCCTGACTTGGATTGTGAGCCGCCCTGTGTCCCCTTCGGGGAAAAGGGCGGCATATAAATGCAATAAATTCAATTCAATCCAATTCAATTCAATAGCAGCTGTGACTTCCCATTGCTGTTTATAATATTAATTGAACTCTCCTCACCCCCTGAATCTCTTCCCAACTCTAAATTATCTCTGAAATGTCTTTTAAATAATACCATAGATTAGAGCCGAGGTGGCGCAGTGGTTAGAGTGCAGCACTGCAGGCTACTTCAGCTGACTGCTATCTGCAATTCGGCTGTTCAAATCTCACCGGCTCAAGGTTGACTCAGGCTTCCATCTTTCCA